GACATTCTTGGTAAGGATTTAAAGGCAATTGATTATTCTTTAAAATGTGAACTTATGGTGTGGTTGTCTGTGTGTATTTCGGCGACAGTGCACATTGAGTAATAAGGTCATGGTGATGATCCGGAAGTGAAATCTGTGTTCCGTTGCCTGGTGTTTTGTTTACAATTCAGCCTCTCAAAAAAATGCAGGTCAACCCTTGACAAGAACTAAACCGTAAAGTCATCTTTGAAGGTATTTTAGATTAACATATGATTTGTATTGATTGTCACACAGTGGAAAGTTCAGTAATGAGAAACAAATGTAGAGACCATATAGTCAAATTAATTGTGTACTATGGCCACTTAGTCACATTTGTGCTCTTTGGGTGTTCCCGCGAGAGATCCGTGACCAACCATGTCACTGCTCCTACTGAAGTGTGTGTGTGTGTGTGTGTGTGTGTAATTTAGGTTTTTAATGTAGCGTTAAAAATCGTAGTCATAACTCTACTGTCTGCAGTGTAGCAGTTTATTATGCCGTAGACAAGTGGCATCATGTCCCACTCAGTTACATTATCCTGGCACCATGCAGACGGGTCTTAACGCTAACCTCTTAAAACTGTAATATTTTTTATAACTCTTTGGTATGTCTCAGCTGGTGGTTCGAAAACGTGAGCTCCCGGATTCGATGCTCTAACCACATTGCCACGCAAGCTATCTGCGTCTGATGAGAGAACATTTAATCATTTAATTAAATAACACACACACACACACGCATATATATATATATATATATATATATATATATATATATATATATATATATATATATATATATATATACAACGAACAGTGCAAAACTATAGTCTGACTATGCCTCTCTGTTTGTTTGTATCCCATCCTACCGATTGCAATAACGAAAACTTTGAATGTGAAAAAAAAATATGTGCCCATGTGTCAATTGAATCATTGATTTATAATTTCTAACCTGACTGACCAGAGTGGCCCTGATACTGGTATCTGCTGCACCTTTCCTGCTTAACGGGCTTTCCATACTAACACCTAGTCCTACTGCTTACACTATAGACTAGAGTTTTCCCTCTAACAACATAAAAACCTCGTTTTTTCTGTTCGGTTACTGCTGGAAAATTCCGTTAGTTACCAAAGCGTTGAGAGTTTGGAGTTATATCCCTTTGCAAGCGTGAACATAGAAATTAATCTCCTTGTTAAATCCATATTAAAAACAAATTTGTTGTCATTATTTTCCTTTGCTTGATTTAAAATTATAAATATCGGAAGCAGACGACGTATGTATGCACATTTGTTATTGTGCATACACCCCTTTGCTGAAAATGGACTTGCCCATGAACTGGAAATTGATCTGGAGCATGTCAGTCCGTTATATTGACAACTTCTGTTAAGCAATAGACGCACAGACGGCCATAAAACAGAATCAATATTACTATATGTTATCTACATTTGTTTCTCAGTACTGAACTTTCCACTGTTTGACAATCAATACAAATCATGTTAATCTAAAATACCTTTAAAGACGACTTCACAGTGAAACTCTTGTCAAAGGTTTACCGGCATTTATTTTGAAAGGTTTGACTGTCAACAAACCCAATTTAAAAAAAAATTGATACCTTAAATTTTAATGTAAATAAAAAAGACCATATACATTTTAAACACTAAATTTTATTGAAAAATTAAATTTTCATATAAGTTATAAATTCAATTTGACAAATTTTAGGCAGCAAAATTGACTAATAAATGGTATTTAAAACAAATGGTAGTTTGGTTCGGTACAACTGATAATATTTTTCTCAGGGGTACTTAAGAATGAATCCTCAGATTGTTTTGGCAGCAAATTACAATTGGCCTATTCAGATGAATATAGGGGTATACACTAAATAAACAATGATAGGTGCTACGTTCCACAGTTATTGTGTCAGGTACTTAGGACATTTGTTTGTATAACTAATAGCGCACTAACATTTAAGGTTTTGATTGGACCACTACTATGTTATGTAGCAAGAATACATTCCATTTTAAGGTCGGTAACTACAAAAGGCGACAACGTGATCGGAAAATATAGTTTCAGGGAGGTTCCACTTTACTGAACAATGATGCAAATATTTCATGAAGATCTAATCCTGGTCTTTGAGTTCCGGTATATCAGTATGCGGCTATGAACTAATCTGGGTGACCTACGGCAGTACACTGCAAATGTTCTTATGAGACCTTGCTATCACCAACGGACTACTGAAGAGCTTCCAAATTGATCCAACTCTAACAGACTAGACATGAAAAGATATAACATGTTTCACTTAATTCTAAAAAACAGTACGATGTAGGCAAATTAAATGAAAATGTGTATGATATGGTGATTTAAAAATAACATCCAGGTTGCAAACGGGAAACAAAGTAAACTTGACAGTGACGCTCAGAAATGTGAAGCAATGGGAATGTACTAAAGTGATAAATGCATTCTAAAAATAGATTTCTAGAAGCACGCTTAGCCATTAACAGATTAAACATCTAAAGTATGTATCATAAAGTTAAAGGTTTGGAACGCTGAAGTTTGATCATTTGTGCAAGTATTAGTACATACCAATATACAGGAAAGTCAAATGACATTGTATTAAATCAAAATATACTACTATAAGCAATCTTAATCATGAGGAAAATATTTTTGGATACTGCAAGTGAACACAGTCAAATGTAGCCACACAGATCAACTATAGTTACAAACAGATTCTATATCATCAACTAAATGTGAAATTTTGATTCCCAAAACTTGTAAACACGGCTGAACATTGGCATGTGTGGGACATAAAGAATGTACTTGTTAAAATCACATATGCAAACATAATTCAAATGACCTCTTTGAACATTTTTAGTCTATTTTTTAAAGTGTTGGTTACCAGTTATTAAGCTCAATGATTCAATGCTATCAAACATCAGGTGATGCTACAATGCCGCACTCTGTCAAAGTACTAAATTGAAATATGTTACAATACATAGGCATTTTCAGAATAAAAAAACATTTTGGGATATTTTAAATGCACACAGCCATCATTTAATATCATTCCCAAAATATATTTGTGCATTATTGGGGTAAATTTTTAAAAAACTATTTCTTTAAAAATTTAAATTAAATTTTTAAAATAAAAATTAAAATTTATTTTTAATGTCTTATTATATTTTCAAAGTCAATATACATAATCTTAATCATATCAAGATCAGTTGTACAAAGTTAAATTCAAATATTCTGTTTGTATATTTCTTGTCTAATCTATAGAGCATCAGTTAACAAATATTATTAGCAATTAAAAAGGCATAAAGCAAAATGAATTGTTAGAATTACCATAATATCATATAGGCCACGATGCCACCAATCAATATCTTAATGACACTGAACAATAAACTGGAATGTATTTTGTGCTCAACTTACATCATTCTGCTGTTGTGCAGATACAATGGTAAAGTATAGTTTATCCCTTTGACCCGTATTTCATTCTTTGTCATGTTAAAATGATATTGTAGAGAAAGTAAGCATGTTTCAGTATAAAGTTTTCATCTCTGTTTATAAAACAATTACTGAAAGCTACACAAGAAGATATGTGTTACTCAGGAAACCACCCCATTAAAAACACAAATGAACTTTTTGGACTCATAATAAATAGTTTGAATGACCTAAAGGCACAATACAAAATAGAATTTTGTCTTCGTGCATTTTTAATGAAGTTCTCATTTTCACTTACAAATATATTTTCTCTGACAAAATCCATCACTGGAGCTTATATATATATATATATATATATATATATATATATATATATATATATATATATATATATATATATATATATATATATATATATGACATCATGTAATATCATTCCCAAAATATATTTGTGCATTATTGGGGTAAATTTTTAAAAAACTATTTCTTTAAAAATTTAAATTAAATTTTTAAAATAACAATTAAAAATTATTTTTAATGTATTATTATATTTTCAAAGTCAATATACATAACATATTAAAAATTCGTGTGTCTGTCATTAATAATGATTTTATACCAATTTACTCAAATACTGCAATTACAGGTCATATAACACAATTAATTTTACTATATTGTCTCTACATTTGTTTATCAATACTGAACTTTCCACTGTGTGACAATTAATACAGATGTTAATCTAAAATACCTTCAAAGACTATTTCACGGTGAAGTTCTTGTCAAATGTTTACCGGCATTTGTTTTAATGGTTTGACTGTCAACAAACCCACGTGCAATGGAACATAGATTTCACTTTCGGGTCATCACCAAGACCTTATTGCTCACTGTACACTGTCGCAGAATCACACACACACACACACACACACACACACACACACACACACACACACACTCCATAAGCTCATATTCTAAAGAATAAACAATTGTCTTAAAATCCATACAAAGCAAAGAATTCCTAAATCTAACTCTTGCATCACCACCAAATGGAGACCGAAAAAAATGCTCTAAAAATATACTGGGATTACATTTGTGGGTACTGAACCGGAATTATTAAATTTGACCTGATTCTAGACAATGACGGTGTTAGGGCCACTCCAAGTTAGAAATTATAAATCAGTGAATGAATTCACTAAGTTCCTTGCATTTTTATCACATTAAAGATTTTCATTATTGAAATGGGTAGGAGGTACAAACAAATGTAGCGGTATAGTGCTACACTCTACCGGATTTACCACTGTATTTAGGTATGCTTAAGTACAGTGCCCTTGTTGGCCAGGAGGCCCATGTTTTTGGCAATACCTCCTTCAGGACCAAAGTAAGGGGCCTCATAGCTTAACTAATACAAGGGCCTAATTTGTTCTAAATCCGGCACTGGCGCTACCCACCTTTTTGTGGCACAGCGAGCCATACTTGTCCCAGTAAAGCCTTCGTCATTCAGTGAGTCACAGTAATCGACTTGTACGGTATTATTTAGGTATACTTGTCTTTCATTGAACCGCTCTGGTGGCCTAGTGGTTAGAGCGTCCGCCTCAGAAGCGATAGGACGCAGCTTCGATCCTCGGCCGAGTCATACCAAAGACTAAAAAAATGGTACTAACAGCTGCCTCGCTTGGCGCTCAGCATTAAGAAGTTAGTGTTAGGACTTGTCGGCCTGGTGTCAGACAGAAAACACGAGTACAAACACACATTAGCTAATATGTAATGTGTGGCTAGATCAGTGTTTATGACGCGGGCAAAGCTAAACAAAAATCTAGAGGATTCTAAGTAACTCCTGGAAATATACTTTATTGTGTCACTAAAATTACCAAGTACTCATTCCAAATGAATTTAAACCAAATCACGCATGCATGTTGGAATCAAATGTCTTTTATACTGGCTCCTGGTACATTTATAGCTAACTTGACGAGGAGCATGAAAGATGATCTCACTGAATAAATGCACTGATAAGAATTTCGTTTCAATATGAATAATACTAGATGAAATTAAATACCGCCTTGACCAGAAAATAAAAATAACAAGGAAGTCAAACATTTACGTAAGTTCTGAATTGAAAAGAAGAACCCTAAAGGTGACAATAACAAAACCACATACTTATTGACGATTGGTATAAATCCTTAGCTGTGTCTAGTCTATTCAGGAACACCGACGTACTGGTACAATCTGGATCATCTAGAAACAGAAAAATGGCACACGCAACAAGCGTAAAAAAATTGATATAGTTTTCTTTGGCGTAATTTCATCCGAAATTCGCTACAACCGGATCTGGACCAACGTTTCCTCTCTGGCTCACCACTCTAAGATGTATCTGTTTCCAATTGAGACAAATACTTCTAATCTCCACATAAACCGCAAACCCACAAGTTCTCATGGATCTGCGTGTCGACAGGTACATATTCCTCAAATACCTTTACACTAGATGCACGTCATGTAAATACGAAGCAGAATGTTATATAGATTCTGAAAATTCATAACTTTTAGAATAGTGTTACCTTAATGAGAAGTTTGACGATTGCTTCTTACTTTAAATATAACATTACAGGTGTGTTCAGGAATGAAAGATGCGTGTCTTATACTCATAATTGTTATGTAATGTAGCAATATTTGCATGCGGAGTCATTTGACGGCTGCATTTCACTGAATAACATAATTACTTCAAAAACAATTACACGTCAAATCCGTAACTTAAATTTCGCTTTATTACGTCTTCAGACTTAATTCAAATAATTGTTTACGGCATTCAATCCTTTGTTTCAGAGGAGATCAGATCAACATTATAAACAAAATAACGGCATGGCGCGAGACATAAAGACGTGCTAGCTTCAGTTGTACGCAATATTCTAGGTGCATAAATAGCACAGAAATATCATAAAAATATACATAAAGGACAATAAAACTTGATATCAAGATACACACGAATTGAAACCTTTCAGATAGAAAATATCTACACAAATAAACTGGTCTATTTCATTTAACTGACGCTCTCTTCCAGAATCGATATCACTTGTAAAAATATTGGACAAGTTTTGTTTTTCACGCTTTATGCAACTTCTCTCATAACAATTATACCACATACATATAGAATTAAGTCATTCATGCGCCCATTTAGTAAAGATATGTGTGCACGTAAATATTTGCAATTTAATTAAACTTACGTTTGAAAATATTCGTTTTTAATTTGGCAATGCTAATTATATTTATGATGTAATGCTGATATTGGGTCCGTCACAAACACATTTATTCGTGGGAAATTAGAAAAATGACTTTCGAGTAAATGCGTTTTGAAACTAGATGTATGGTTAAGATGTCTACACGATATATTTGTGATATGAAATGTTTGTTTAAAAAATCTTTACGACTGCTAAAACGTTCAAGTAAATGACACCCTTCAGTTAAATTTATCATCACTCTGTCGAATAAATATAATATTGTTTTTGACGTATTTTTTTAAAAACAATTGTACCAATGCATCAGTTAGTATACACATTGAAAACAAATATTTGCTTCAATATGTTGAATATTCTTCGTTTCATCCGACACCCTGGAAATACAGAACACAGTACAGTCCAGGGACGTGATACACAAAGAATTGTTCTGATAATGGTATACTCCGAAATTTTCTGGCGGAGTTCCGGAAACTTTTGTTTTAAGACAAATTATCCAGCAGATGTTATTACTAGTGCTCTTAAAAAGTCACCCCTTCTTACAGAGTAAGATAAACTGAAGTGTAAAATTATGAAACTATAAATTCGTTTACTGTTGAACATAATCCTATTTTTCATAATCTAGATAGCATTGTAAACAATTATGATGACCTTGTACAATTGTCCTATAATGCAAGTGTTCATTTACTTTACAAAGCCAAGCCTACACTTGCAGGTCAACGAACTAGATTAAAAATGTCACTTTCTTCTCAATTCACAAACTCACCGCCAGTATCTTTAGTAAATTGTGCTCGTCGCACCGTTGTTCTGTTAACGAAAACTTATTTCCGTAGCAGCAACTTTAACGAAAAATTCAAGACGTGCTATGAATCGAACCGTGCAGCTTCCGATGTTGCATATTTGACAACTTGCTAAGTTATTGGTGAAAAATACGTCGGACAAACTAATCATCAACTATCTAAACGAGGGAATAGACATAACTGACATTAGCAACTTTGGCGCCCCATCATTTTTCATCTCATGTGGCCACATGTTTTAATATTGGCTTAAATAAGTAGCAAGATTTTTTTCCATGCCACTTGATTTTGTTTATGAAATAGAACGCTTTTTAACGGAAACATACTAGTACCACTGTTTGCACCGTCTATCCAAAATATTTTAATTATATAAGGATATATAAACTTCTTTTATTGACAAATTTATAGGGGGCCCCAGGTGACTGAATCGTCTAAAGCGCTTACTTTTACCGATAACGGCCTGACCTGTCCACGTTAGATTCGGATCTCGAGCTCACTGGCCACCACGTATAGCCAACGATTGCTTAAAAATGTTAAACCCACGAGAACAATAGACTCATTCTAGTACGGTAACACAAGTACCAGTGATATAGGAAACATTAATTCTCTTATGAGGTTATTTGTGAATGTCACTTTTCGTCGAATTTTTTTTTCAGCTGCTTTGCAATTACAAAATATTATAAACTTTATATAATGTATGGGTAAGCAAATATCTTGCTACTTTTAATAATGTAATTCCAAATCAGATCTTTTATTATCTATTTTTTATATATATAAAATCCCTAATGTTTACTGTTTTAAGTTCTCTTTGATAATTATAAGTTGTTTCCTGTTAAAAGTCATCGAGACTTGGCACTAACATCATCTTCTGATCCCCAATGGACTAAACATATTAGCATGACTATTAAGAACACATTTAAATATTTATATTGCACTCAGCTCGAAAACCATTGGACAGATTAACTCTAACTAAACTCTAGAGACATATCTTTAAGTCCAGTTTTGGAATGTGTCTACAAAGTCTGGGATTACTGTTTAAAGTAAGATTTGTAAAGATTTGGAAAATTAAAATCAAAGTTTCACGATTAGTTTACAGGTTTACTCATTTATTCTATAGATTATTTTACGCGGAAACGGCGTAACAATTCAAGTGCAAAAGGAATGACAATGATTGCTTATTTATAATTTGTTAGATTATAACTAAACGAGTACCTAGCTATTTACGTGATGTTCCACAAAGGCAATATGAAATATCTCATTATGGTCATCGTAATTAATAAAGCATTACACCATTCCTCTGGAGAGTCTACTTTTTTTTCCCCGTCTTTTTCCCCCCATCTACAATTGTACTTTTCTAACTCTAACGATATCCCAAAAATACATCTTATCTATATAGTGTCATTAAATGTAAATCTAATCCAACTAACAGCTACTGCTAACATCACCTTAATATTATGCACACTAAACTCGTCAATGCATGAAACCCTTTAATACACAATGAACATAATTACACTCATGATGATGAGTGTGTTATATGTTTTAGAATTTTAACGTAGCTTCAACAATTTTCAGTCATATTGCTACGATGTATGCAGTGTGACAGTTTATATTTATAGTGATGTCTAACACTAAGGCATCATGCTGCAGACACGTAGCACGATGTCCCACTCAGTCACATTATCCTGACACCAGGCCGACCTGTCCTAACACTATCCTCTTAATTTTGAGCGGCAAGCGAGGCAGCTGTTAGCACTAATTTTTAAAGTGTTTGGTATGACTCGGCTGGGATTTGTACCCGCTAGCAATAATTGGAGTAGCAAGGTTCTCAAATTGCAGAACGTACAGTTTTATTTTTGCTATTCAAAGGCCTAATGGAAAGAGAAAACTATTACACACTGGCCGCAATGTTTGCAAGATATGAGATATACAAGACAAAGGACTGGAAAAGAGAGTGTGACGTCATAACATAATGATTAACAAGGATGAAAAAAAACACGAACTTCGAACTTGCGAATATGTTTCTAGAGTCGTGTTACCTGCATTCATTAATTGTTTCATATTTATAAACGTTAGTTATACGTTAAAAATCTACACATGAGGTACAGATTTATTTCTTTCATCATGAAAATAAGAACACGACTAGGGATAGAGAAGGGATAGAGAACACGACTAGGGATAGAGAAGGGATAGAGAACACGACTAGGGATAGAGAAGATCTTACATGTGATGAGATAAGACAAGACCAAGACATTCACTAGCACAGTGACTAAAGAAAAACTAAACATACATGGTCCAAACAAAACGTGCAAAACAGAGAATGTGATTTATCTCATCACATGTAAGATCTGTGGCCTTCAGTACGTGGGAGAAACTGAAAAGCTACACATAAGGATAAACCTTCATAGATCTGATTGGATGACAAAAAAGCTGTACAGAAGCCCGGTCGCAGAACACTTCTCCTCCCCTGGCCACACTTTCAGTGATATAATACTTATCGCTATTGCCAACAACCACAGCTGGAGTTCCGAAACCAGGAAGGAAAAGGAATCATACTGGATACGCCGCCTTAGAACATTGAAACCAAGCGGTCTAAACCAAGAAGACTAGAAAATG